CTCGGAAAAGGGGTAGGCACGGGTCCGCCTATATGACAATCGTGGAAAGTGCTGGCGCTGGTCGACTACTCTGGAGGCATCTTACTTCTCTCCTGTTAACACACAAAAACCACTTTGAAAGGTGTAAACTGTAAGGTGTAAGGTGCGAACTCTAGTCAAAAGGCAAAACTATGCCAGTTCTGCTTCTAAGCCGTTACTTATTTTATGTTGAAAATCATTTCTGAGCTAAAATGAGTCGAAATTTTGCTTAACCTTAGGGAAAGAAACTACTGGATGGGCAAACAAATATCTCTGGCGAAAAGCGGGTTTACAAGACTTTACAAAGTGGTTCTATATGTTGACAGGAATTGACAAGATACCCCTATATGTTCGACCAGGATCCAAGAACAAGTTCTCAAACGCCAAATCAAAGCGAATAGCCGTAATAATTTACTCGTCAACAGGCTCCGTTTCAAAACATATGGAGAAACGAATAACGGGGTGTATTGACGTTGGCAATAAATCTCTTACAAATGAGTCATGGGTGAAATTCCATTGAAAATCAACACTGACTATTAAAACTAGAAATGATAAGCATATCACCACAGTAGAGACGTCCCATTGATAACAATGGAACGAAAGGATATGATAAAACAACGTAAGCAACAGTAAACCGGATCCATTTGAAATTCGACTCCCTTATCACACTGGCTATTATCTAAAGAGAACCACAGAAACCACCGTGAACAGCTTCGATGAGCAAAGCTACAGGAAAACAGAATTGAAAGCGAGTAACAAGTAGAGAGTAATTCTCATAACAACGACTCCATAACGACTCCAAGTACGTCAGACTTTCAGAAACTTTTGAATCAAGCTCATTATCTCAGAGGATATCTGCTCAATTACATTATGTCTAGAAGCTTTTTCAGTTCTACGACTAACTGCCAATCATTGCGACTGAGATCATCTCGAAAGTACGTCTTACAAGCATCAATCGATTCACGAGTAATCTGAAAAAGGCTCAGAATGAAGAATCTGAAGTAACAAGCAATTTTTTTACTACCATCACCCGAAAAAGGGGAAGTTCACATATATGTACTGGTAGAAACAAACTGCCAATAGATACCCCTGAGAAACGGATAAATAACAGAGTTCAGTGTCAGACAGGGCACGCCATCGTAGTAATGATCACGACGGGGGGGGGTCGTATTTGGCAGTGAGGGAGGGGGTAATATTCAGTCTGAGGAAAATTTGTTTTAGGTAGTTTTATTAGCTCTCGGTTTCAACGGACGGGTACAAAGTAGTGGGGGGGGGTCGTATTTGCCGTGAGGGAGGGGGTAATATTCAGTCTGAGAAAATTTTTTAGGTAGTTGATTTCTCTCGTTTTACGGACGGTATAAAGGAGTGGGGGAGGTCGTATTGGGTCGCGTTGGAAGTGGGCGCTGCCAAAGATTCGTATATCACCTAATATTTTCCCAGCTTTAAAGTTGAACCAACGATAGTTGAATCTAACGGGAAATTTTGGGCGTGGAAAACTGAAAATATTTTTCTGGAGAAAGATGGAAATGAGTGTAAGGCAAGCTGGAAATCTATGGAAAAGTGGTAGGTAAGTGCATATGGGAAGCAAGGGTCGCGACAGTGGCGGTTCTCAGGCGGCACCAGTGGGGCGGTCCTAAGGGCCACGCTGGCCTAGGCGGCCCCGATATTTGCCTGTTGATCGTAAGCCTGGCAATAACACTTGTCCTTCGTCTCATGACACTGAACTCTCCTGCGCTCTAAAACGCACCGCCGTTTCTGGGGAATTTCAAGCTAAAATTCCATGCAAACTGTGATAACAGTTTAAGTAAGAATCATCACCTAAGTCACCGATTGAAGCCGGAAAGTCTCGAAAAATGCCTCAGCTTTTTCAAAGCCTGGAATATGGCAGGAATTCGGAGAAAATGCGGCAGGAATCAGCTGATCGGGCAGCGTCAGCCATTATCGATCGGCGAGAGTGCAGGACGGAAGAGTGAGTAGAGGGCGCGGCGGGGTGTGTTAGAGCGCAGAGTCAGTGTCAGAGACGGAGAGGCAATGATGATAATTTCCTACGATTTCCGGCTTTCCATCGACTACGCATCAGAGTCGGAACGTCATCGCCCGGCGTGGGTCGGTAGGGAACGCCCCAGGCGTCTGGTGCAGGCGGCTCCACTGTATATGAGGGTATAAATTAGGATGGTCGTACATTTTCAGGATGATGATTGCACGCGATGGCGGTGCCGCTGCTGTCGAGAAGGTTGCGGCGCGTCCGGGACTGCATGGCGGTAAACGAAAGTTGTGTACGAACGTCCATTGGTGCCCTCCCCTCTTGCCTGCCGTCCTATGGTGCGTGATGCGGAGATGGGGTGTAGCTACGGGGGGGGGGGGGGTGTCGCACTAATGATATAGCTTCCTCGCTCCGCCCACCTCGCGATCCTGGACGGTGAATGAGAATCTTTAACGTCTTATGTGTCTAGATTAAGTGTAGCGAAAAATTAGCTCTGGGGCCATTCCTCCATAATGTTTCCCTCTCTCACAGGTTGACTTTCGCTTCTCGTTCTTTTCAACAATCTGGTGAGGACAGTCCTGCCCGGGAGCTAAACTCAGCCTTCTAACGACGCGGGTTGCCGGCCCCAATATCGGCCAGCGAACGAAACTGTATGCCTTTCCGCGAACCGAAATAATAAAGAAAAACAAATAATAAAGAAAGGAGCAAACATTTTGGCATCGTGTAACTGTTCTACTTACCCTACTAACAAGTATGTCTTCGGGTGGAAATGCCGTCCGTACAATTTTGGCGCCTCACCAGTAGTATTTTCGATTTTAATGCACACCTGCAAGATATGTAAAGTATTTCCAGTGGCGCGCTTACTTGTACTGAAAATGAAGGAGAGCATTCATGCTTCGCGAATCGCGTGAGCGAGATTGTAGAAGTATGAACGCCCCATTAAAGACAGCTCCCGCGATAAAAGTCTCATGGATAGCTGCTTTCCAATTATGAAACAGCAGCTGATAAGTAATCTCCCAAAGAAGAAAACAGGCAAGAAGCGTCCTCCAGAACAACATAAACAAAATCGCTCCCTCACAGTTACACCTCCCTGCGGTCTCTGTGCAGCCCCTAGCTCACAAATCTCTCTATCACATCTCGCAGTAGTTGATACCGATCGTAGTGGCAAACGAAAGAAGTACAAAAAGGCAACAAAAAAGCAGAGGAAAAAACTCTGGGAAGGAAAAAGGAATTTTATCAACACGGTGTCTGAATTTGTGATTACGGTAAACGCGCCTTTTGTGCGTCGTGGTTTTGCATCACGAAAATTGCGTCACTCGTGTTTTTTACGCGTTTCACCTCGCAAAATGGGTTGAATTGAATGTATATACCTCACTGAGTGAACTGTCAATGAGGCAGAGCCAGAAGTTATCCAGGAAGGCATTAGCAATGCTCGGCCGCTCAAGTAAGAACAAGTTGAGTGGCGCTCCGTCGTAAGGACATGCTAGGCAAGTAAAGGCGGTTCCGAACTGAGGAGAGTTTACGAACGTAGCACTTTGAGGCGGCTATAGCAACCTTCACGTCAAATATGTCGCGGAAAGTGAACAGTCTTCCCAGGCTTTGGAGCGTAGACTGACTCGCACAGCAAAGGCGACCACGAGGCCACTTTGATCGCGAGGCGCTGCTTTTAACGATCAGAGCATCTAAAGCCAATTTCGAAAGGTAGCTTTCACGCTTACTACACGGCGGTCCTTCTTTGTGCCCCATTCATTGGTGCGCCCCTCATTCTGAGGCGGACAAGTGGTGGGACCAGCCAATAAGGAACTCGCAACGGTAGTCCTGACCCCGCGCGCAAAATATATCATTGCCTAACCGAAACTTCACCAGTTTCTGGGTTTCCCATTCCTTCTACAATACCAAGTGAATAAAGACGACAACAAACCTCATCGCCTGCCTTGGCCATTTGTACTTCCTCGTGATTCCTCTCTATTGATGCAACAGCACCAAGGAAAATACACTGCAATAAAAAATGGTTTTTCACAAAAAAAAGAGAGAAAGAAAAAGAAAGAACAGAACTTGGAACTCACTTCTTTGCTCGGCACACAAATTGGAGTTCCTCTCTTGAGTTGACCAGCGTCAACATTTACTCCACATACAATGGGATTACGGGCATTGAAAACATGTTGTGGAAGAATACGCAATTTGCACGGGAAGATTGCCAGGTGTTCATTTTCTTTACGTGCTTTCAGTCGCAGTTCTTCTCTGAAACAAACGGGTCCGCACTAAACCTTCTGAACAATCAGAAAAGAGGCAGAATGAAAGCCACACCTGTATTTGAGGAAGTTATCTTCCAAATGATAAATAATATCCGCCTGGAAAATCTTCACTCTTTCATGATCAGCAAACAACTGGGCTTCTCGTTCCACCTTCACATCGAATGCCAGAATACATGCATACCTGAAATAAGCAGACTGAGTTTCATTGACTCCAACTAATTAACTCATTAAAGGCAGTTGGCACGATAATTTCGCGTACACTTTGCAAAAGGCAAAGGTGCCCAGTAATGCAAAAATAGTGAAAAAACGGGGCGAAATGGTGGAGAAACCACGAAATGGGGCTCTTTCGCTGCACTGTGCCAGTGGACGAGCGAACGGCTGGGGCGGGCTGCTTTGGACGAGTCTGTCGATTGAACTGTTTATTGCTGGCAAAAAGCCAGCAGTAAGTTTTACGTCGCTCTACGTTACTTTACATTACACGTAGGCACGGGCGGTCCATAACGGCACGTCCCCTGCTGCTGATGCTATGCTATACGTCCAAAACGTACCGCGTGCGGGCGAGTGGGCCTCCGGTCGTAGTTGTTGATGTTCGACATGGCTTATAAGGCTACCCTCCTTGCGAAAGGTGCTACGTAGCCAGATTCAGGCTAATGAATTCTGTCATGCCATGTCCTCATTAAACCTCTACACAGTCTTAGCCCAATTATCGTCCAACATTAGAACGCCGTGCTGCGTGAATTTTGAATTATTCTTGTCACTTCACATGGATCAATTTCTTAATCATCGATTGTAAAGAGTGACAGGACAAATGTAATGTAATGCATCTATTTTTCCGATTTCAAACAAGATATGTTACTCCTTTCCATAAAACGTGTAATCTGAACATCAAGTAGAGCCGCGATGTATCACATCACCGCAATGGAGAAAAATGTTTGACCAGAGTGCGCGCGCTACCGAATGTTTAAGAGTGCCGGGCGGCAATCGAATTCCTCTTGGAAAAAAAAATCAGCCACTTCCTGCCTTTTTGTCCAGCATAGCGGCCAGCTTTTGGACATCTTTCTTATGAACCGGCAATATTAACATTCCGAGTACTAAAAAAAGCAAATCACAAACATGTTTTGTGTCAGCCAAATGAGAAACTACAGGCGCAATCGCCTGCAGCCTCCGCTCTCTTCTGGCGATTTCTCAGCAGTTTTGTGACATCACACCGCCGCCTGCTCATGCAGTGCACACGCCTCCCGAAGCTGTGTCACTGCATGCATGATGACGGGGGGTTGAGTGATGCGCGGCTGTGATATTCACAAGCACCGCATTGCGCGACGATTGCTACTCTCTCTCGGAACTTAAATGACACATCCTCGCTCATCTTGGGGGGGGGAGCGGAGACGAGAAGCATAGCGCTTACATACTTGTCGTCTTCCACTTGATGTGCCCTTGCTGCCGACGGTAGAGAAAAGGCTGCCAAGAATGGGAGAGGCCAACGTTTAACTGCTCCCTCTTAGACAATCAGCATGGAGTAACCCTTGCACAGACTGCAGAAACAGTACGACTACCTAGGTGAAAGACCGCTTGCTGCGGCAGAATACAGAATATTCGAGTTTTACCAAGGCATTTGTCAGTTCTACAAAGATAAGTTCATCACTGACCCCCCCCAGCCCCACTTCTGAAGATCAAATTTGCAGTGAACACCTACGAAACAGGCAAAGGATGAATTAGATATTGAATTATTCACTACACACTAACCGGAATTTTCTGCGCGTTTTCAAGAATTCCAGCAATGCCTCCAAACATCCAACCGGATACTTGCTTCTACATAAACTCCTTCTGGCTTCTTCTTGATAGACGTGAGAGCTCGACTTAGTTGCAGTTCAGCCTCGTTTCTGGAACATTGGAGCATGATTAAGAAACAAGCATAACGTAGAGAAGCAGAAGTGAGTAGCATACTTGAGGAAGTCAATTTCATCTTCCTTATGAGCTACAAACAATGGAAGACCTGCCAAGCACTTTTCTAGACCTTTTGCTAGAACTTTGACTCCCTGTGCTCCTTGGATCTCTTTATAATGCCCGTACTCATTCTGAAAACAAACTATGCATAAGCTTTGCTCCTCGAAACACGAACGGTGCACTCTGTCGGCACGTGATGGCGGCAGATGGTGCGATCATTCAACCTTGCCATTGCGTCCGTCCTCGTTTGACCCTACCGAAGTGCGAGACGCACACTTGCGAAGCCAAAACGGTTGATTATCGCGGCCTATACGTCAGCCGCAATGAGCTTTCAAGGAAAACCCATTGCAAGTTGAATTATGAGAAACAAAAAAAAACCTTGACTCGAAGTTCCCTAAGCGGCTGCGGCATCAATAGCTCTCGAATAGGTGTCATTATTGCACCTTCAGTGCCCGTGACAACAATAATGTCGCCCACTCTCAGGCGCCCATTGACAAGAATCACATCAATTGTTGTTCCCAGTCCAGGAATTGCTTTCACTTCCATGACGGTCGCATCCAGTTCCTCACTATACGCCAGTTTATCGGCATGATACTTCTGTGCCGTTCCCACAATGTAAGCCATCAGGTTTCCTGAACAGAAATTTAAGGAAGTAATTCCATATGAAGGCAATTTCGTTTATTCCTATTCTTTACCAATTCCGTCTCCCATGTAGGCAGACGTGGGAATCATACTGATGTACTCATCAAGATTCTTATTCTGATTTGACAAGCAGACGTTGAGAGCCTATAAATATATAAAATAATGGACACGTCCATATTTTAAAAATGAGCGTGGATCGGAAGCATCTAGCTGGGTGCACAGGCAAAACGATTGCGTAGACAACTTCTGAGATCCCGCGCGCAAAGCCAGAAGCGCAACGGACCAGACGAACTGCCGTCCTGCGAAAGTACACTCGGCCATACCCGCAGCAGTTGATTAGCGGCCAAAGGCCGTCGCGACGCGGCTGCGGCGCGTCAACGCCCAATCAGCGGCCTTTCCCGAAAAAATTAGCCTTGTTACTCGCCAAATTTCCAATTGTTTTTGGCTGCTTTTCTTAGGTTAGTTGTTCCTTGTCTTCACAAGGTAAATTATGATTGAGATTTCTCTAATTTTTGCGAACAATTAAATAATTAAACAAACAAATACCTAAAAAATCGCAAAAGCACTTCATTTTCATTTTCATTACGAAAACAAAAAAAAGAATCCCGTCCTAATATACTTCATAAGGAAGAAAAACAACTTACCTCGAAAAAAATAAATAATACAGTGAAAACTTAGGGAGAAAATGGCTAAATAGGCTGGAAACAGCCGCGGTCGTGACGCGCCGCAGCCGCGTCTGCGACCCTTTGACCGCCTAATCAACAGCCCCGATGACGACTGTATAAAAGGGTGCCAGAAAATATGTTGCGATACTAAGGATAAGCTTCTTTCCAGAAGACCTCGGTTGGGCGAGCTACTTATGTGTTTAGGATGCTTAAGGTCATACTGGTCGAAGAACATCATGTAGACGTGAGAGCGCAGAGAAAAAAGAAACAGAAGAAAGGGAAAGCTGACGCGATCAAAGGGACTGGGTTCAAAGTGTCCTTAGGGTACGAAAGGATTTTCGCTGGTTACGTCACGTGGGCGAAATCCGCACCTTATTCGCTTGATGCGAATGGTCGGAAAAAGATGAGCCACGCGCGCATAGCAGCTACTGCGTGTCTCCACGAATCGAATCTTCTGATCCACGGCCTTCAATAACCAATGCTAGTCGGGTATGTGACAAGAGAATCGTAATTCGCCGCTGATGGGCGTCGCGTGCGACGTCGCGCCCGCAAATGACGATGGTTCCAGGTCATAGATGGCGACAATAGGCAATGTAGAACCGAAAATTGACATAAATGTCTACATTCGTAGCCCACGTGAAATCCGGTGCTCCAATCGATAGGCTGAACAAGAGTTAAGAAAACGCCGCTGTTATCGCCGCGCGCGGCGGAGCGGCAAACTACAATTCTCCTGCCCGTCTCCCATGCTAGCCACCAGCAGATTCATTCACGTACCTGTTCAGCAAATTCTCCAACAATCTTATCATAACGTTCTTTGAATTCAAGCTGCGTATTTTGTGGTTGCGATTTCAAATGTTGGTAAACGTCCTTACGTGGATTCGATTCGTATCCATACAATCGATCAATCTGAAAAAAAAACCAATTCAATTGAAGCAATAGCTCCATGTGCTTTGAAAAATGCTTTACAAGGGGAGAAATTGATCACAAAATGAATTATCGAAACACGTGTGAAGCACAGACAAAGCCATTTAGAAAAAAACATTCGAAAATAGCTGAATACTGCCTAAATCAATTTAAATTGGATAGGTAATACGGCGCCGTTCGGCTTGGAAGGGGCCCCTTTTGCTACTTCCCAGTGTTCATTGCTTACAAGAGTTGACAGGTACCCTCTCAAAATGTGGATAAGTAATTTCTAGAAACTTTGGACCTGGCTATACTTCATGGCCTTCCACTTAAAGACACATGGTACGCTCAAACACATTGAGGGTGTATGAGACTAACAGCCCCCCAGCTGTCGATGTGTCGTGGTTTCCCCGCCCGAAACTGCACGGGGGTCCGAGTACGGGACCGTGGGAAAGGCTTATTCCTTGCTACACCGCCCAAAATGCACCGCGCGCAAGTTGCATTTCGCCGCGCGCAAAGTTGCGAGAAAAGCACTGTTGATTTTAGGCGGTGTCGTAGCAAGGAATAAGCCTTTCCCATGGTCCCGTACTCGGACCCCCGTGCAGTTTCAGGCGGGGAAACCACGACACATCGACAGCTGGGGGGCTGTTAGTCTCATACACCCTTAATGTGTTTGAGCGTACCATGTGTCTTTAATAGGACAATCTCTAAATGCGATGTTCGACGGACAATGTGAAATTTATGCGATAAGCGCCAAATGCCGCTCTTCGCCGAACTGTGCCGGTAATACTTAGGTGGATTACATCGACTACGCAATACCTGCGAAGGCGAAGCTTTTGTAGGCAACCTCCTTGTGATGCACCATGCATTCCACTCCCATCAAGTTTCATTTAGCGGCATTACTGGAAAGAGATATGGGCCTAACAATTATAGGCAGCGCAGCGACATTATAATTTAGGATTTTTGATCCTCAGATAAGTTTGGACCCAGGGCATGAAAACTTGCTTGTCTCTTACTGGAACCAATCCAAGATTTTTCTTGTCAGTGAGCGCTGCGCTTATGGACGCGCGCTCGTGAAAAAAAATTAAAAAAGTTACATTAGCGTGCTGATGGACAAATGGCCGACCGGATCCTGAAAGGTATTGGGAAAATGCAAATTTAAATTATATTCCGGTGTCGGCGCCAGTACTTTCTGAGGCAACCTGGCCTAACATATGGATCGCACGAAAGTGCTAGATTCCACCCCCCCCTCCCAAGCGCAGCGCTCGGTTTTCTTCATCCGAGATAGATAAAAACAATTATGCAAAGGGCAACTGATACCATCCAGAATTATTCTGAATCGTAAAGCAGACCTTATTTAAAGCAACAACGAAGGGCGTTTTCCTCTTCAGCAACAATTTCAACGATTCAATCGTCTGTGGTTCAAGTCCATGCATAATGTCCACAAAAACCCAAGTTTATTAGGGCGGGCGAAAAATCACACAGCGACGAATCCACGAGAACGAAGATTCCTGCACAAAAGCAATTATTCTCTCTCGTAAAGAGAAATCCATTAAAACCAAAGCTCAGTAATTAATGAACGCTTACGCAAAACTTTCGTGACCCGGCGTATCAATAATGAGGAAGCCTGGGATTCTCACAGCATCGGGATTGAAATCTCTCACTTGCTTACACCGTTCCTTGATGGCATCGGCTGGGACCTAAAGAAAAGGGGATTGGAAAAAAGCGCCGAAAATATTGTTGCTTTCGAATCATCAAACCTGCGTGGCACCAATTTGTTGGGTAATACCTCCTGCCTCACCGTCTTGTACATTTGTTCGTCGAATCTGAAACCAACGGCTAAGGACCAACTCGTAAAACGCTTAGCAAAACCAGTCTAGAACATATCACATACAGTATCCAGCATTTTCGTCTTTCCAGGTATCGACATGACCAAGGACACAGATAACCGGAGCGCGTTAAATTGTCCCTGGAACGTTTAGACTCCGCAAGTTCACGACGTTTCTGAAAGAGTAGGTAGTAGTTTTTGTGAAGCGCCGGAGAACTTCAACCTGAAACTGCAAGCAGTTTTCAAAAAGAACTTACGATCAGTCGCTGCCGCACGGCCTCCATGGCCTCCTCCTTTGTGAGCTTTGCCTTCGGCGACTCATCTTCACTTGAAGATTCTTCTTCACTTTCACTCTCCTCTTCCGAGCTCTCTTCTTCAGACGATTCTTCTTCAGTTTCCTCATCTTTGCTCTGAGACGATCACCTTTAGGTTTGCGTTCATACTTTTTGTCAGCGTTTTGGGCGTAACCAGGAGTCCACCAGTGTTTTTCAGCGAGCGCGAAAGTATAGGCATCGAATTATCGATGGAAAGCTGACGGACTTTCAAATGATAGTGAACGCTCAGAATGCCGATGGACGCTCGGAACTTTGCCGCAAAGTTTGAACTCATTCTCCCCCCCCTACTGGAACAAATGTAGAGTTAAAAGAAAAAAAAAAAAATAGCTGGAAATAAGTATCACAACGTGGCCCACCGGGCTATGGGCAAATAGCTATTAAACAATGGGAAACGCCGTCAAGCTGAGAGAGCAGAAGACGATCTCGGTGGTGTAGCGGCCCCTCGCTAGTCCACTAAGAGCAGGTCAATGTTCCATGTGAGGCAAAACTTTTGCCCAGCATTTTAGTCTAGCACTTTAGGACGAGCTTCCCGCCAACTACGGCAAAAAGCATCGATTATTAGAATAAAACATAGAATTACCGTTTTTGTTTCTGTTGATACTTGTTCAATAGTTCGTGGTTGCGGTTTCACCTCAGTTTCCTCTTTTTCTAAACGATCCTGCTCTTCCTTCTGCTGTTTCGCTTCTTGAAGAACCATCTCCCAATCGTCTAAGGGTTCTTTCTGCAACAGAAAACAGTGGGAAATAATATTTCCAAGAGGGCGCTCCCAGTTTGTCTTAGGCAACGTTCAGACATTGCGACGGAAGCGCTTCGATAGCGCGTTCGACGCGATCGATGCGCATGACTGCCACGATCGCAGTCGAGCGCGTGATTCGAAAACGCTGTCTCGCGAAGTGCTGAACGTCTGCCTGCTTAATAGATAGACGACCGCCACTATTTCGAGGTAAGGCGCGCACCTTCTCTTCGAAACGCGGCGAGTGTTTTGCGCGGTAAAATGTGCTGTTAGTATTATGCTGGCTTCAGGAAGTCATTTGTTTCAATGGAAGACATAACAGGGGTACTCTATTCGGGTCTACAGCTACTTATAGCCACGCTGGATAATGCAAACAACGCGCGTTAGATACACCACTGAAAAAAAAATAAGAACCCACCGTTTCCGGTGTCTTGGACTCCGGAGTTTCTTCCTTGGACGGGGGAGGCGTCTCCGAAGCTTCTAAACAGAAAAATCACAACATCACCCAATTTCAGAAACTCTCGCCTAAATCAAACCTTTAGCACGCCTAGCTGCCTCTTCTTCTTCTTTCTGCTGCTGTAGCTTCTGCTGTTCTTCCCTCTCTTTCTGTTTCTGTTCCAGGAACTTCTTCTTAGCTCGTCGATCCAAGTTGGCATAAATTACGTGTTCATTGACCGTTGGAACTGGCTTCGTTACTGAAAATATTACGTTAAATGAGGGGAAACTGACTTCCCCCACCCCCTCCCCCCAAATTCGAGAAAGCGTACGCACATCCGGCTGCGGCCAACTTTGCTGCAGCTATCCGTTGCTTCTCTCTTTGAGCAGCAGTCAGATACGTTCCTTCAGCCTTTTTACGTTCGAATTGCCGCTTTTTCCTTGGCTTTCCTTGCTTCTCGCTTTTCCTTGGCTATCCGCTCCTGAAATCGATGTCTACTTCACATTCTAGATCGAATGGAGAGCCCTAGCATTTGATTAGGCTGCTTTCATACTTTACCGCAGCGTTTGAGCGTTTTGGGCAACCACGCGTTTTAAGCGGTAATCGATATCTATACATTATTATTGGCTCAGAACGCTGCCGCAAAGTATGAACGCATTCTCAAGAGGGCAAAACACATGTTAGAAACCAGTTAAACTACTAAGCTCACCTCCTCCTCTTTAGCGCCGAGCTATAGCCGCGAGACGCTCTTCTTCCTCTTTTTGCCTGCGCAGTTCAGCTTCCTCAGCTTCTTGTTTTGCGCGCAAGAGCTCTTTGATCATATCTACCTGTGATTCATGATTTGAGAAAACTTGAAAGAAATGAAAAATGTTAAACCTGTACGAAACATACATGTTTCTTCTTTTTGCCTTTCCCATCGTCCTTTTCCTCCTTCTTTTTATCCTTCTTCTTGTCTTTCTTTTTCTTCTTTTTGTCTTTAGCCGCGTCATCACCACCATCTTCCTGTCCTTCCTCAACATCACCGCCAGCCGGCTCTTTTGCTTCCTGGAATATTGGCAGCAATCCAAACAATAAATATTGTACAAAATAAGGCGCTGTTCGGCGTAGTGTGGGGTACTTTTCGAGCGTGAGTCTCTTTTAGTTATTCTTGTTTGCCTAAATTACGAAGCTCATGCAATTGCGTGAGCTTTACGGGAGTAGTCTCCAAAGGAGGCCTCGGCAGTGATCCATGGAAGTAGTGCCCCCACCAAACCGAATTGCGCCCAAAATCGCAATCATAAAACTTGGAAAAAATTCTTCTCTATTGAACTTCTCTAGTTCCCTGAAAGGCCCTCGTAATGTGTCAATTGAATAACTTAAATGGATTTATACTGCGAGCACTAGATGCCTGGTCAAGTTAAGGTACAAAGTGAATGTAATGTACAGTAATATGAAGTAAATGTATTGTACTGTACAGCAGTACGTGAAGTGAATGCAATTCTGACAAATATTGATCGCATGTGCAATCAATAATTGGGTCTATCGCTCTTTTGATACTTTTCTGCCTAGGCCTAAATTTTCTAGAATTACCTCAGCAGTACTTTTGCGAAACACTCACCTCCTCTTCAGGTTTCTCTGCAGGTTTCTCTTCTGCTTGCTCCTCATCATCCACGTCTCCTTTCTTCTTATCCTTCTTCTTTTTCTTTTTCTTCTTGCCCTCTTCCGCAGCCGGCTCTGTAGTTTCAGGTGCAGTAGGTACAGGAGCAGGTACAGGAGCTGCTAGAAAAAAAGAAGTAAGATTACACATTCAGAAAAGTTGTCCATGAGTTCCAAAATAACCAAATAATCAAGAACCCCAAAAAGGAGTTAGTTTTCGGCGAAGAATTAAACGCTTCATTCTAGTTCCTAAACAGTATCTAG